GAGTTGCTCTGCCCCGGGCTTCCTGGAATCAGCTGCTGATCAGTTTCAGCAGCAGCTGACTTGGGGACGCCTGGGGTTCTTAAGTTGAATCTGTATGTAAGTCGGAACTGATGTCCAGATTCAGCCGCTGTTGAAACTGATCAGTTTCAGCAGCGGCTGAATCTGGATGCCAGTTCCGACTTACATACAGATTCAACTTAAGAACAAACCTACAGTCTCTATCTTGTACGTAACCCGGGGACTGCCTGTAGTTAATTCCTGTACTGGTTGTGGCTAATTCCTAAGCAGGTTGTAGCTCAGTGGTTCCCAAACTTTTTGGCATCATGACCCCCTTTTTGATTTTTGAGAAACTCTCATGCGCCCTCCCCCAAATAGCAGCAAAAAAGGAACAGATCGGGGACAAAAAACAAAAATAACAGCACAACTTGAGGGTGGGGGAGGGAATTGAAGGGGGAGGAGGCTGGATTGCCTCACACCTTCCCTGAAATTTCTTCACACAACCCTCAGTTTGGGAACCCATGTTGTAGCTCCAGCAAACCCATCCTGGCCCCTCAGAGCGGCTGGCACCTTGATTCTCTGGGATGGGTTCTAGTTGTTCACCTAGAGCTGTGAAGCCCGCAGGGTCCTTCTTCCTGCTCGCGAAAGCCCAATATCCCAGCCTGGAGGTGAAGTTGAGAACCCAGCCACAGGGCTGTTTGGCTATTTTAACAATTTCTTCACCTCTGCCCTCTGAATATGGACAAAATGCTGGGGTGACGTGCCAACACCTATGTTTCTAGCTCTCTTCCTAGGGGTGCTAAGAGAGAGAGGAATTTCCGAGGGGGGGGGATTTAAAAGCAACGATCTTTCTTTTTGGTAATGGGACGGGAGCTTCTGTTTTCCAGCTTTGTCCCCTGGCTTGGCACGTGTGGGGGGGGTCCCTGTTACTTGGCTAGGTCCTTGTTGTTTGCAATAGAGGCACAACACTCAAGTAGACGCATTCATTCTCCGATAATGGATCTGGAGAGGTTTAAAGGTCCATGTCCGTGTCCTTCATTAATGTTTATTGAAGTAGGCTATAAAAGGACAGCGTGCCCAATTAAAGTGTCTTTTTGTTCCGTCCTCAATCTGTAACCATTCATCCGCTTGGAAGGCGTCCATAAAATGTCATGGCAATACCTATTTTACTGCAAATTTGGCATAAGTGGGTTTGGCCATTAAGCTATAGGAATGCAAAAGCTTGTGGTTTACAATGGCTTTTTTGTGCTTTGCAACTTCAGAATTGTCTTTTTATGGCTGTTTCAGGTGGCTGGGTTAATGCGAACAAATTGTGGGGGCCGTTTCGGGGGAAGCAAATTAAAAAAATGCAACTTGAATTATGGCGTGTAGGAAAGTGGCTCCCAGTAGCGGGGGCCCCCCCTTCAGATTTTCCGGAGTCTGTGTCAAAACAGCTGCTGTGTGTACAGCAACCACACTACAATAGATGTTTATCCTCCATTGTCTCACTAACCCCGTGAGTGATGGGCGTATCCTCTCCCTGTCTGCTTCTTTCGAACAGGGCTATCCAAATAAACTAACCCTGGGAATTTGGCTGCACGGGCCTTGGGCAGCGAGCCCCGCAGTTGGAGTGGGGCTAGCAGGTTGGCTCCAGACTGAGCCAAGTTTTTCAGGGTCTGAGGTGCTCCCTGCTAGCCCAGGTCTCCCGACCCAGGCCGGCTGGCTCGCTTCCGCCGGCTGCAGAGCTGTCCCCCGAATGAGCAGTCGGGGTTGACGAAAGTGGGTCTGTGTGGCTATTGAAAATGTCACTGGGCAGCTTGCGGGGAGGGGGGAGGAGGGGTTAGTGCATGGATATGGTCGGGGCTGTCCCTAGGGTGCACCCCCCCAGGTGTGGGGTCTGAATCGACCCCCCACACCACAGGCTCCGCCCTCATTCTGCACGCCCCTGCTCCATCCCTTCCCTAACCCCACCCCTGCTCCTCCCCCTTGCCTGAAGGCCCCTCCCCTGACCAGCAGCCGCGGGAGGGGGCAGGAGGGCTTGTGAGAGGTGGCAGCAGGGGTTTGGACTCCCCATGGGAGCCAGAGCGACCCGGCAGCCTGCTCCTCCCCACTACATGCTGGACCATGGCGGTGGAAAGCAGAGTTCTCTGGGGCTGCGGTGAGGCCATGTGTGGGGGGGGAGGGGGTGCTGATGGGTTGTTCCAGCTCCTGCAGCCATGGTGGGGGGGACACCCCTGGTGATGCTCTGTGCCAGGCCCCCAGGTAACCTCCGGGCTGCCCAAGCCCCATCCATAGAATGACCGAAGCAGCTGTCTGAAATGCGGGTCTGGGGCGCCCAACCCGACAGCTCTGGGTATGGTATCCGGAAGAACAAGTGACCTCTGTCTGTCCATCCGAGGGTATTGAAAGCCCCCTGTGTCACTGCAGCCCTGGGCCATGCCAGTGTGAAGAGGCAAGAAGTGTTGCAGCGGGCGTTCTGAAGAGCGCTCAAGCTGGGTGGCGGGGAAAAGGATTTAAAAACGAGACCAACTTAAACTGGGGTCATCTCTCCAGAGTATCTTGTGCCACAAGCCCGGTAGAGCAATACCGCCTCCAAGGAGCCACCCTGCACAGCTGAGGGAAAAAGGACACTTCCTTCAGAAGGGGGGGAGGAGCGGAAACGCAGTTCACAGCATGGCTGTGCTTCTGCTTAATTCAGGACTTGGCCATGACCAGCCCTGCTGGGACAGAGCTGCATTTCCAGCCTTGTAAACCTGCGGGTGTCTGCATCTGCAGGGATGGCTATCTGTGCCTCCTCTTTGCAGGTGCGGAAATAAACCCTGCAAATTGGCAGAGATCAGCTTTGTATCCGTGGGTGTCCTCAGCTCTCTGTTGCAGATCTTGTATCTGCGCAGGGCACTATGCCCAAGCGTCGTTTTGGGGAACGCTTGGAGGAAGGGCCATGTTACACTGTCGATCGGTTGCAACGGTGTCCTGCATTTCAGCTTTCCCTTGTGCTTCCCAGTTGGGAAGATCAGTTGTGTCTCCCACCTCGGAAGCTGGATTTCTTTGGTGAAAGTTGCAACCCTCTCATCCCAGGCAATGTTTGTCCTTGAAAATACTGAGGATAATCTTAATGGCATGAGATGGCTTCCCCCCACAAATCCAAGACGAGGTTCCAGAGCTGGGATCAGCTGGTTTTCATGTTCCTGAGGCTCCTCCAACGCTTCTGTAGTTTGTCTGAAAGCCAGTGTTTTTTGTGCATTGTTGAATTTGGCTTTCGAACACTTCAGCTCTGGCTCAGTTTCAGAAAACGTGGTCTTCCAGAGCACTTCTACCATAGCTCTTAAAGCTGTCCACAAAGGAAGACGAGTACCAACATCCCCCTATGGTAGATATGGGGGAAACTGACATCTTTTTTACACTTAAGTCTTTGTCACTTCTTTTTTTTTTTTTTAAGTGTCCATGCAACTGCTTGCATCAGCTGATTTCTGTTTCACGTCTGTCAATTCCTACTTTGATGTAAGCTAAGGCAAAAGCTGTCTCTCTTAAACCCAACATGCCCAGCCAGCGGTTTTTGGTGGTGTAACAAAATCAACTTAACCCTCCCCCTTTAAATTCATCTGGTGCAGCTTGTTCCCCCAGACAAACCCAAAAGCAATGTGGTGGGAGATGCTCGAGGTTACGTAGACAAAGGAGGCAGGCCTGGAAATAGAATTTGCCTTCTGAGCCACAGGACTGCTGCTCTTTACTATCTGG